ATGCTGTCAACTTGGGACTGCATCACATCCTGCAACACCTTGACTCTCCAGGGACATATGCAAGGATCCTGTTCGTGGACTTCAGCTTGGCGTTCCACACCATCATCCCGGACATCCTCAGCACCAAACTCACCCAGCTCACTGTACCAGCCTCCACCTGTCAGTGGATCACAAACTTCCTGACTGACAGGTGAGGCTGGGGAACATCACATCCTATTAGCCATTAGCTTAGACTACTAGCACTGGCGCCCCCAAGAGGTGTGTGCTCTCCCCACTGCTCTTCTTCCTCTACACCAATGACTGCACCTCAGGAGACCCATTTGTCAAACTCCTAAAGTTTGCTGACAAAGTTTGCTCAAAACTGTGGAGATGATTGTGGACTTCAGGAGGAGCCCCCCCACTCTGCCCCCCATCACCCTACTCAGCAGCCCTGTGTCGGCTGTGGAATCCTTCAGGTTTCTGGGATCCACTATATCTCAGGACCTGAAGTGGGAGCCCAACGCGGACACCATCATCAAGAAGGCCCAGCAGAGGATGTACTTCCTGCGCCAGCTCAGGAAGTTCAACCTGCCTAAGGAGCTGCTGATCCACTTTTACACAGCCATCATCCAATCTGTCCTCTGCACGTCCATAACTGTCTGGTTTGGATCTGCCACCAAAAAAGACAGGAGCAGACTACAATGGACAGTCAGGACTGCAGAAAAGATCATCGGTGCCAACCTGCCCTCCATTCAGGACTTATACATTTCCAGAGTCAGGAAATGGGCAGGAAACATCAATGCAGATCCATCTCACCCCGGACACAACCTGTTCCAGCTCCTCCCCTCTGGTAGGCGCTACAGAGCACTGTACGCCAAAACCAACAGACTCAGGAACAGTTTTTTCCACAAGCCATCACTCTGATGAACAGTGTCAGGAACAATTCTTGTGCAATAACCCAGTAACTCTGTCTCTAATCAGCCACCTGTTTACTGGCTAACACTTATTATTTATTCACCATTCTCTATTTCAGTGCTGTTCATACTATGTCATATTGTCATATTGTAGATACTGTATACCAAATCCACCTATCTCAAGTCATTTCTCCTGCACAAACTACTCATACTTATTTATTCCAGCATTGTTTGTACTATGCATCATTGCACTGTGTACATGTGTACATATATGCATGTATATGTACCTGTATATCACATCCACCTCCAACATGTACATACTCCTGCATCCTTTGCACTCTGCTCACTGCACTATTTGTCTATATTGTTTTTATTCATAGTGTGTATATTTGTGTTGTCTACACTGAAGTCTGTGTCTGATTTTATTTTATTTTTATTATTGTGATTTTGTATTATTGTATAAGTAAGCACATCGTGAGCAATGTACAATCCAGAGTCAAATTCCTCATATGTGTACACATACCTGGCAATAAAGCTGATTCTGATTCTGATTTTGTTCTTTAACACCAACTCTACATTTCAAAATGCAAAATAACATTCTCTACATACACAAACTCTATCAAAACAGAGCAAACCTGACTCAAAATCAAATCATTCTGTCAAAACACTAGCATGTTTTCTTTCCAAGAGGAACAGATCAATCAATCATAGCACGACTTTCTAAATACAGTTGATGGCATTACAAAAACTGCAATACTTTTCATGTTTCAGCTCTACCTGCATACAGCAGACAATGAGAAAATCATTGTTTTTTGTAATTCAGTTTCCTTTTACTGTAAACCACCCTACATTTTTGGCTTGAGGGTCAAATGTGTGCATTTTTGCCAACAAACTATGCAAAAGAGTCCTCTTTACGTTATAGAATGTACAGTAGAAAATAAATTGTAAGCAACAAAATTGCAGAAGTTAAAGTTTTATTATCAACATGAAATTGCAGCCAGTTGTCAGCAAATAATCCAACCTATGTGGCTTTTGGTTCAACATGTGTAAAAATACTGTCATATACATTTACGTTCCTTCTCAGCCACTATGCTCCTGCAATGAACGCCGTCTGGCTCTGCCATCCCTTCACACAAAGCAATCTCAGTCCCAGCGGTTCTCATCTGTGACACCACAATGGTGGAACAAGCTACCACATGCCATCAGAGCAGGGGCGTCTCTAACTTCCAGAAGCTCATGAAAACTCATCTCTTCCAGAAACTCTTCCTCTTACTGTGTAACACCTCCTTCCCTTAACCTCTAACATGCACTTCCTGTGCTTTTGTTCTTCTATCCCCTTACAATTCTCTTGTATTGATTGCACTACTCGTTAACTCTTACTTCTTTCTCTATGTATTTACCCTATTGATGCTGTACGTGCTAATAGCTCTTACTAGTATTTATTGTCACTTGTAGATCTCTTACTGTATTGATGCTTGTATTCTGTTCCTCAAATGTAAGTCGCTCCCCGCGACCCTGTATGCAGGATAATCGGTTGACGATGGGTGGATGGATGTAAGTCGCTTTGGCTAAAATTGTCTGCCAAATGAGTAAATGTAAATACACAATTACATTGAATAAAAAAATGCACAGAAGGGATAGAAACAAAAAGCCTGTTCTGTTCTAATCCATATGATCTTCAGCATTTGGCCACATGTTCTCATCCACATCACATCTAATGTCATCTCTCGCTTTGTACCTGGATAGAAACACTTACTGGTTCAGCTACTCCTCTCAATGGCCCAACTATTCTTCTCCCTTGTTCTGAGTATTCTTTCTTTGTCTCCTTTTTACTGCATTGTGTATGTAATTCTGAACTTCAACACCTGTCTGTGTCTCTGGTCAAGATAGGAATTAGATGTGGTTGATCTGTTTTACCAAAAATTACAATAAATGAGCTATTTCTCAATGTTTCAATGCATATAAGCCATTTCAATGTAGATTTTGAACTGCAATTGTAGCAGAAGTAGAGGCTTTATACATAATTGAAGGTTTTGAAAATGATATCTTCATTTCTGACATGTGTGCAATTATTTGTAAATAACACAAAAACATTGATAGTTTTGGTATAGGGTAAGCTTGTGCATAAAGAGAAACGTAGCATTTTAGAAATGGGTTAATTAACTGCATATTCTGTGTAAACAACATGAATTGTGTTAATTGTATGGTATGAACAGGCCGGGGCTAACTGTGTTCAGAGTTTTGAAAATGTGACTACACATTGGAAAAAAATTATGTTAGTGGTTGTAAAAAACTGTAACACAATAACAACACACTGTCACATGAACACATCTCAGAGCTACTATATATATGTATGAACTGAGAGTTAAGACATCAAATATATATTAAGAAATCTTCAAGCAATAAAACATGTCAAATATAAACAAAGATGAAATTTAGACAAAACAGACAAATAACAACATTTATAAATATTATTCAAGATTGTTTTGTATATTTTATGAAAGTTTATTAATAATAGTTGCAAAAAATCTGAATCAGAAGGTTATAAACAGCTGAGTGATCAGCCGATTAATTGATTAGTCAAAGATCTGCTGCTTCTCTGAATGATTGTAAAAACTGTGATGTTTGTTAGTAACGTTAAATTTTAGATTCAATCAAAGAATTAATGGATTGGTGGAGGAAATAATCAGCAGATTGATCCAGAATGAAAAGAATCATCAGCTGCAGTCTGAGCTGCAGCTCAAAAACTACAGCAGTAACATCCTGCTTTACATTAATGAAGAGGAAGAAGAATCTGAGGAGAGGAGATCTACTACAACAAGTCATTGATTATCACTGATTGATAAGGGTTGTTTCAGTGTTTCCATCTGAACCCTGACTCATCATAAGCACTGTAATTATCCAGTTTATACTGTACACAGCTCTGTCCAGTATTTGGATGAGGAGGGGGAGGTTTGAAGGATCTGTGTTGTTATTGATTGATTATTGGTGTAACAGCAGCGCCTCTTCAGAGAGGAGGGGATGTTCCAGTCAGTCAGGAGGTGTTGGTAATGTTCAGAACAACATGCTGAGGGGATTGACCCCAGAGAGCAGGTGGAGAACTTCAGCTTCTTCAGATTTGTGGGACTAAAGCGAGAAAATCTACACAATGCGTCCGTTTATAGAGCATCGGCGTGAAGGAGAAGACCAGCTGGAGGCTCTGTTAATCATCTCTGACTGCAGACAGTTTGTTAAATTCACTAGGAATCGATCTGATTGGAATAAACAGTTTGTCAATGGTAGAAAAAATAAATAAAGCCTTATTTTGGTTGTTTGTAATTAGCTGGGAAACTATAATCAGGCTGGATGTGAGCGTCATCGTCACATTTCCACTGATCCTCAACATATATATATGCCTGCTGATGAGCAATACTACAATGCATAAAATGTAATGTATAGAGGTTGTGTAGTATACTATAAACAGGTAGTAGCCTAATAAATACACATGTTGAGATGGTTGTAAACAGTAACCAGGTAAGCAGGTGGATCCAAGTAGTGTTTTTAAAGATCTCAAGGATCCATCTGTAGCTGCATTGTGTTATACATAAGATGTATAAGGGGAACATAACTAGTAAGATCTGCATAATAAATGTGTCTTTTTATTTGTTATCCTCTGTCATTGTTTTGACATGAAGTGTGATTTCCATTTAATCTAAATAATGATTCATTACGAGGAGACTTAAATCTTTATCACTTCTAAATAAACTGTTCAACATACAACAACATTAAAGAGTCAAACATTTTCATTGTTTATTCCAGGTTTTAATAGCTTGTAAAAGTCCAGATTGTGTTTGTCATCACATTCATTCTTTGTTCCTGGTTTGGGTTATTTTTGATGCCAGTGTTTTAACGTTTCTCCTGTGCCAAAACAACTTTTTGTAAGTTCAGTTTTGTTTGAAGTCTTGCTGTCAGCACCAGACACCAGTCACTAAAGACTGACTTTAGCCCCAGTCTGCTGAAGTCTTGTTCTCAACACCAGACTCCTGTCATTAAAGACTGAAGTTTCTTGTTGTCAGAACCAGACTACAGTCACTAAAGACTGGCTTTAGCTCCCGGTGTTTCTCCTGCAGTCCCAGCTGTGTGCTGCTTTGCTTCCTGTATGAACCACGTGGTGTGTGAAGGCAGACTGCAGCTTCTTTTGTTCAAATCAATCAAACCGCAGACGGACAGAGAGCTGCTGAATCAGGAAATCACCGGTACATCTATTTATTCTTCGCTCCATCAAAACACAAACTGCTAGATTTTATATTCCGACAACACGGAGGCTGAACGCGCGCTAAACTTAAAACGTGTCCAATCGGGAAAATGTGTGAAAAAGTTTTTGTAGTCATCGTTTCATGTGTTGTGTCTTTATTTAGAGTGGCTGTTAGCTTATAGTAGTAGCGAGCTGCCGTTAGCTTAATGAGCCCTGTCATGCAGCTCTTTAAACATCTTACACGCTTATTCCAGTCTGGCTTTAAGACCGTCTGACATGTTTACTTAATATGATAACTTTGCCAGGCTCTTTGGTATAGCAGCTGACTGAATAACTTCACATGCTGTAGGTTAGCACCGCTGCTAGCCTGCTACCCAACCATTATGTGAACAAAGAAGAGGTTAGCTCTTAGCCTAATGAAGCTAGCAGCTAGCTACGGACTGACGCCGGTACTTGTTTGTAGTTTCTGCCGATAGTTCCGTCTGATTATTGATTACAAAGCCAGTGAAGAAGCTGATAAAAGAAAATCGGCCAAATTTTAAATAATCGATCTGAGCTGCTAAATCACGTAAGGGTTTTTAGCCGGTTTAAAGACACATTCAGTACTCTAACATAAGACTTTGTGTTTTACAGGCACAAAAGTCTGAATAATAGTTATCTTTATTATTATTGATTGATGAAGTTTTGTAAAGTTAATTTAAAGAAAAGCAGAAGGGTGACAGTTAATGCTTCAGCCAGTAAAGTCTATCTTTCCACAACCTGAGTTTTAAAACATATTTTTACATAACTTTTATATAACTATATTATTTTTATTTTCATGTGGACCATCTTCATTGTCTCACTGCGTTTTGTTATTCTTCAAATATGACTGAATATTGTATATTATAAGTATGTGTAAACTACATTTTTATATATATATATATATATATAAGTAATAATCCCCATATATCCACATTTTTCTCCATATCGGTGTTTGCTGTGGCCCAGTATCTCCCTGGATCATTACATTTTCACTGTGTCTTCTTACACTCTTGTATAATCTAATCATTTCCTCTTTTCCCACTCAGCCTCAGATTGATAAAATGCCACGTAAGAAGGTGACTGATGTTTCAGGGAACGGTGGGATGAAGAAGAAGAGGGCCAGCGGCAAAAGGAAAGAGCGAGACTTCAGTAGCGATGACGACTTCGACTTCGAGCAGGAGAACAACAAGAAGCCCGGCAAGCCTGTGAAGTCCGGTCTACAGCCCGTCACTGTGGCAGATGATGTCAAAGAGAAAATAGTGGGTTTAAAACAGAAAAACAGAACTGTGTTGGTTTTGTCTTTATTGCTCCTGTTATGACCTCCTGTCTACAAGTGGCTGTTCCTGCCAGGACAAGAAGCTGATGGGGAAGATAAAATAGATGATCATCAATAAATTCTCACACATATCTCCTGATTCTGACGGTATAAGAAGAATAATCCAGCTAGCGAGTCAGCAGTTCACCTGCTCCTGTGTTTGTGTAGGACAGACCTGTGGAAACATCTGATTTTTGGTGAGAGGGAATATTTTCATGTTCACCTGCGATGCTGAAGTTTGCTTCTGATTCAGCAGTTAAAAGGAAAGTTAAAGGAAACTCAGGTCCAAAAACCACTCTGACTAGAGCTGTCAGATCTGGACTAGATTATTCCCAAGAGGCTACAGTTTCAGATTTGTGAAACCTTTGTGATTTGTGAAATTGAAAAAAGGCTGATTTTATATGGTCTCATGTGGTCGACATGTAAAAAAGAAACAAATATAAGTCTTCATTTAAAACTTTTTAACAAATAGAATAAATGTTTTATAAATCTGAAATTGTGTTTGTAAGAAAATTTTGCGTCTCTCGGACACTGGTCCAGATTTGACCGCTCTAGGCATAGTGGTTTTTGGACCTGAGTTTCCTTTAACTGAATCAGAAGATAGCTTCAGCGTCATCGTTCACCTGCAGGGTCATCCTCAGCCTCCTCAGCTTGTCCACAGGGATTTTTTGTGTGGACATACATGTCTTCCATTTTGGTAATCAGGATGACCAAAGTGTTATTTTCCAAACGTCAGGAGGTTCTTCAGTCGGATCACAGATGCTGTGTTGGTGAAATGATTAGGTGTTTTGAGTTTAGGAGCTTTTTTATTTTGCTGACCTCTTTGTGTCCTTTCTACAGAAACTTGAGTGCCCAAAGGTTAAAGGTCAACTGCTCATCTTTGGCGCAACTAACTGGGATTTGATTGGACGAAAGGAGGTGCCCAAACAACAAGGTAGGACATTTTATATTGAAAATAGCTGGGTCAGGTCTAGAGTGGGACAGGTACCTGGTGCTGAGCGGAAGAACTTTAACAATAACAGTGATTCATGGCTGTCATATAAAAGTCAAACTTACTGCCATTATAATCCCTAAATGTAAGTGAAGGCCTGTTTTCACTGACGTTCAGAGCCGCTGAGTTCAGCTGCATCAGCGCGTGTGTTTGAAGGAGGGCTCGGTGCCCATACCTTTTCCTGGGGGCTGGTAGGTGTATTCTGTGATGGACAGGTGATATGTTGAGCCAGGCAGGATCAGGTCTGACGTTAGTTGTACGTGTCTTTGTTTAGGATGCAGTACGTGAAGCCAGCGAGATCTCATCAATTGATTGTGACAGTAATGTCCATTCATACGTATGCATGTTGTGACCCCCCCCCCCCCCCCCCCAACGATCCAGTGCTCCGGGGCGGCCAGTGTACTGCGTGTTTCCAGCCTCGCCTCCGTGCTGATAAACCTGCTTTGTTGAGGCTGGGTGGGGGTTGGGGGTGTCAGCAGGAGCAGCTGCATAGACAAAGACTAATGGGTGAGATGCTGCAGCAGAAACACTTTCATGTGTTCTTTTGGAGTACACTTCAAAATATAAAGCTTTAGTTATTTAGCAGCAGTTTGTCTTTGAGTTAAATGTTAAAATGAAGAGAGACTGGACTTCCTTTTTATCGGAGTCACGCGCTTTTCACAGTCCTGCTCACAAGAAGAGTGCACAGCCTTTTACATACCTTAATATACCCGTTTTTCTGTAATACCCCTTTTTACGTTCAGGACGGCTGGTGTGGTATGTTCAGACTCAAACCATCAACCTGTCAGTTCCTCAGTCCTGTCTGACTTCAGATTTATAGTTTCAAGTTTAAAAGGCTCAGTCATTTCCTCGAACAGCTGCTCTAATCAAACAGGAGAAATCTGTTGTTAGCCAGTGAGATTAGTGAGTGCTTGGGGCAGCAGGACGGTGTGTGTGGGGCTGACTCGGTGTTCATGGTGATGAAGGAACATGTCGGTACAGGCCTGTTTGTTCGCTGACTCTGATCAGAGGCAGCGTGTCCTCTTCCACAGAGGAGTTTCTCCTACATACCTGGAAGGGCAGGGGGAGGTGAGGGGTGTTCAGGGGGTCTGCAGTCTGCATCCTCATCACTAGATGTCACTAACTCCTGCACACTGGTCCTTTATATCACAGCTCTGCCTGTGAGTCCATGAGTGACCATGCACACTGAATACAGGAGCCGCCTGTACACATCTGTGTCAGTTATATTTAACTTGCTGTCAGTTCAGTCCATAAGCTGTCAGATGGACCTCAGTGATGATCATGCCGCTGGGTTTGTGCTTTATTAAGATGCATTAAGGTATTTGCGTTCTCTCCGTGGTCAGGTGTTGACAGATGGTGTGTGTGAACATTTGTGTGTTTTCAGCTGCTTTCCGCAACCTGGGCCAGAACCTGTGGGGTCCTCACCGCTACGGGTGTCTGAATGATGTCCAGGTGAGCTGCGTGGTGTCGGGTCCCTGTGCTGCACACAGCCTCCTCATGACCACCGAGGGCAAGCTGTGGAGCTGGGGTGAGTAACACGCTGCGTTCAGGTGCACATTCATTCCACCCAGCAGACAGCAGCGGTTTTGTGTTTGAGTTCTTCTCTGAGCTTTGGTTTCTGGCTTCCTCAGGTCGTAACGACAAAGGTCAGCTGGGCCACGGGGACACAAAGCGTCTGGAGGCCCCCAAACTAATCGAAGCCCTGGCAGATCACGTGATTGTTGCTGCAGCCTGCGGACGCAATCACACCCTGGCGCTCACAGGTAGGCTGAGCCACGCTGTGTTTCTGTTCAGCCAATCACAGCAGCTCATTCAGTCACGGCTCCGGTAACTGTTGGAGTGAAACCCTCTGGCATCATAGTACCTCACCATGTGTTTGTGCTGCTTCTCTCCTCAGAGGACGGCACTGCATACTCGTTTGGTGAGAACAAGTTGGGCCAGCTTGGCCAGGGGAACCAGACCGATGCAGTCCTCAGCCCAGCACCAGTAAGCCATCACTGTCACACCGAGCACACGCTGCTGTAGACCGGGGAACAGGTGCTGGACACATGAACAGCAGTCTGGAGCTAGCTAACGTTAACTTGTAAAGATCATATCATCAGGAGTTTGCAGGCACTGTAACGTTTCCTCAGAACGGATGTTTCGAATGCAACTTAAGTTGCTCGGCACAAGTAAATGAAATCTTTGAAAACACAAACTACTCGTGTTCATTGGCCTGTCTTTCTTAATGCGACTGTGAAAACCAACAGCTATCTCCTGATCCTGCCTGTCTAGATGTTCGGTCGCCAGCTGCATAATAATCCCAATATGATGAAACTATTCACAAAGTGGTGGTCAGTTATCGCTGGTTTAAGTATGTAACCAGCAGTTGGCCTTGATAACCTTCAGACTGAGCGGCTGCAGACGGGCCGTACTGACCTCTGTAAACTTTGTTGGGTGAATCCAGAAAGCATCAGACCCTGCAGCAGAGCACATTTTAAACTCACCATGTTACAGTCGTGTTTGCAGCTGTAACCAAGCGTTACCTGTTGGTGGACCTTCTTTAAAGTCTACCTTCTCTCTCCCTCTAGATTTCCTATAATGGCCAGCCCCTGGTGAAGGTGGCCTGTGGTGCTGAGTTCAGCATGGTGGTGGATTGCAAAGGAAACCTGTACTCGTTCGGGTGCCCGGAGTACGGACAGCTGGGTATGTTCTCACCGTCTGCTTTCTGCTTTGTTTAGAGTGTTTCAGTTACTCGGTGACGTCAGCAGGAGGCTGACACCAGTTTAACACAGATGGTATCAGCACCTCCACCTGTCAGCTGACGTGAATGATGTGAGGTCATCTAAAAGCGTCTTCATTACAGAGTCTTTCCCCAGAGAGCGCTGTTTGATTTAAGTGTTAAAATGGCTGTTTTTATCAGGTTTTCTGTCCTGTAAATATTGGTGTGCAGCTGACCCCTCCTCTCGTCTCACTGCAGGTCACAACAGTGACGGGAAGTTCATTGCTCGCGCCCAGCGCATCGAGTTTGACTGTGAGCTCATTGCTCGCCGTGTCGCCATCTTCATTGAGAAGTCCAAGGACGGCCAGGTCATGCCCGTGCCCAACGTGGTGGTCCGAGACGTGGCCTGCGGGGCCAACCACACGGTGAGAGTTCACAGTAGTCTTCCACAGAAGGCCAGTGACTGCTGTGACGAACGTCGAGCATTAACCCTCTGTGTGTGTGTGTGTGTGTGTGTGTGTGTGTGTGTGTGTGTGTTGGTGTTGCAGCTGGTGCTGGACTCTCAGAAGCGAGTGTTCAGCTGGGGTTTTGGTGGTTACGGGCGTCTGGGTCACACGGAGCAGAAGGACGAGATGGTTCCTCGACTGGTCAAACTGTTTGACTTTCCTGGACGTGGAGCCAGTCAGATCTGCACAGGCTACCAGTGCTCCTTTGCTGTCAGCGAGATGGGTGAGAAGGTTTCACATTCTTTAAGTGCTGCTGCCGCCAAGGCGAAGGCCGTTGAGGACCACGGTCACAGAAACGTCTGCAGTACAGGAAGCTGTTTGTCTGATCAGCGTTGTATTTGCAGGAGGGCTGTTCTTCTGGGGGGTGACAAACACTTCCAGAGAGTCGACCATGTACCCCAAAGCTGTGCAGGACCTGTGTGGCTGGAAGATCCGCAGTCTGTCATGTGGGTGAGTGCTCCATTCCTTTTACTCCTCTCTCTGAGATGTGATGGCGAAGGCCGTGGGTGCTGTAGTTTCCTCTGTGTGGAGTTTGACCTGAGTGTGTTTGTGTGTAACAGGAAGAGCAGCATCATCATTGCTGCAGACGAGAGTACGATCAGCTGGGGCCCCTCGCCCACGTTTGGAGAGCTGGTAAGACCTGAAGCAATTTTTAAACCCGGTTCATGGGAATATTGTCAGGAGCTCAGCACTGATCGGATCTTGTATCATTTGTCCTTCAGGGATATGGAGACAACAAACCCAAGTCCTCCACCACCGCCCAGGAGGTCAAGACCTTGGATAGCATCTACATCGAGCAGGTAAGTGGACTTACACCTACACCTAAACCAGACTGACAGTCAGCTGTGGAAGTGAGGTCACTCTAATCCAGAGGACTGGTTTACGGGAGGTTGGTGAAAGCTGAGAGTTGCTGATGTGTGGAGACAACATTTCTAACTTGTCTGTCTGTCTGTCTGAGATAAAGATGCATCTGGACTTTAAGAATAGAAACTCATAGCAGACAAACTCCAGCGGTGATGTTGTGTAAAGAGAATCTGCGTCCTGGCTCCAGTAGACCAGCTGCCTGCTCTCGTGGGTCTGACAGAGTCTGTGTGTAGGTCTCATCAGACCTGACATCTGAACGGAATGTGTTGTGTTGTGTCTGCAGGTGGTGATGGGCTACTCTCACTCTCTGGTGATCGCCCGACAGGACACCGAGCAGGAACAGGAGAGACTGAAAAAGCTGCCCGAGTACAACCCCCGAACAATCTGACGGGGCCGCCAGCAGCAGCACCTCCACCCCTTTCCCCGCAGCAGGGACTGAACCAGAACACCTAGCCTGTTCGTCGCACCGGTGGGACGGTTGAGTTCGGGGGGGGGGGGGTGCTGGATATCCACACATCTCAACTACCAGCAAAATGGCTCCACACAAATTTGGACACTGAAATCAAACGGACAGGAGACGCACGGGCCCTCAGGATGGTCCAGCTCTCTCAGTGAACGGTCATCTCCATTTCCACCTCGAGCAAACCTGCAACAGTTTGCTCCAAGCACTTCACAGCCAGCAGCCACGCTTCCTAAAACACCTTTTCTATTTTGTAATACAGCCAAACTCCATGTGTTCAGTTGTTGTTTTCATTGTTGCAGTATTTGAAACGATAACATTGTTTGTCACGTTTACGGGTGCTACAGCAGGACCCTCAGGCTTTTCCTACTGAGGGTTTTTTCAGAGACCAACGCTCTCCATACCTGTGCCTTTTTCTACGCGTACGTTCAGGGTATGGGAGTCTTCTTTGTGTTGTTCATGGCAGTGTGCGTGCAGCTGCCACAGATTAAATCAGGATTTGATGATGTTCTGAGTTTGTGAACGCCACTTGACGTTACATTCCTTTTGTTGTCTTCTTCGTTTGCATCGAGGACGCACGCCTCCGTCCTTCCAACGCCACCCCTTTTGTGAGCTCCTGTCTCTGCTAGTCTGAGTAATATCAACTTTTCCAACACTCAGATGGTTCCATAGGCGGGTCAGAGCTCCAGGACCAGCACTGCTGTCTGGTTCGGTGTGTCAGGGCATGCTGGGAAGGAGGGTGTGGCCTGTTTTAAACACAGCAGATGTGTTCTCTGCTACTTGTACTGCATTCTTTTTTTATGGTGAAATTTCTCTGGGTTATTGTTTTTTTCATTGAAATGGTTAAATAAAGATTCATGTGAATTCATTTGTTTTCTTTGTCTCCACTTCTGCTACGTTGAACTGCTCGCTTGATCTTGGGAATAGACGTTCTCAAAGGTCCACCTGCTAGGGTTGGCCGATGTCTACGTTGAAACATCGGGCCGGGCGGCGGCTCACCTGCTGCCGCCGGGGCCAGCCGGTGTGTTTAGCTGAGGTGTAGGCCTCCTGTGTGTCTGACTGTGGGGAGAAGAGAATTCCGAGGAAGGTGCAAAGCATATTTAAAATGTATAATGTTCATGGTGATTAAAACCTGCTTTCACATGGCAGTATAATTTGAAGAATTATGATCATTTTCTTCTATAATTTTATTCAAAAAGTGAATCTTTCATATATTCTAGATCCATTACACACAGTGAAATATTGTTTACCTTGCTTATTACAACTTGCAGCACACTGAACTCCAGTATCTTAAAACTTAAAATAAAATGTTTATAATACAGAAATGTCCACAGGAGAAGAGCTCTGATCAGCTGATTCATTTAAAAACACCTCCAAAGGTTTCCTGAGCCTTTAACCTCTATCTGGTTCTGCTGCTCACAGTGAACCTTTCCACTCTATTCTATATATACACATCTGTTTTCAGATGCTCCTGCAGAGCAGAGCTCTGACACAAGCTGAGAGACCGGTCTGAGTTCAGTGCTGACCCTGTCTCTATTTTAACCTCCATTTCATAGTGTTCAACAGGTGGAACCTGAGCTCCATGTCTTAGGTGTGAGCAGCAGAACTCAGCCTGCAGCTACCAGCTGACCTGAAGTCTCAAAGAACACACCCGGCACCAGCTTCTGTACTGTAAACAATGTTTATTTAAATGTACAAAATCAGATGAATTGTCGATTTAATCTTCATCCTCCTCCTCCTCCTCGTCCTGGTTGATCTGGAAGTAGCGGAGCTCGTAGCTCTCCTTGGTGTTCGCTACAACGCGCAGCCAGTCACGAAGATTGTTCTTCTTCAGGTACTTCTTGGTCAGATACTTCAGGTACCTGAGGCACAAACAGAAAACATCAGACTCATGTTAATCACAAACAGTACAGGTATGAAGCTGCAGGGAGAAGCCCCACAGAACAAGCTTAGGCTCCAGGAAAATGTGTTTAGCAATAAACTTGATTCTAACTCACCTCTTCCCTGAATGTTTTAATCTCTCAGCTGATGAAACTCAGATTTATTTCATTTAAAGGAAAAGTTTGACATTTTGGAGTTAGACTGATGCTGATGTGTTCATGTCTGTACTGTAAATGTGAAGCTACTCAGCAGCCATTTAGCTTAGTACAAACACTGGTAGCAGGGGGAAACGGTTAGCCTGGCTCACAGAATCCACAGACCAGCTGGAGAGCTCACTGATCCACAGGCCGGAGGTGAACGGTGTACCTGCAGCTCTGAGTCAGATCAGTTTATCAGAAGCTTCATATTTTATCACGTTCTCTCAGAGTGAAGCTGCTGGTGTGTTTAAATGCACACGTTCACGTCTACATGTTGTATTATTAACACTTTGTTCAGCCTGCAGCCAAATCACATTTGATTCTTAAGCAGATCTTTAGACAGACTGTCTGCACTAGGAACATCACTTCAACCAAAAATACTATTCCATACTCATTCGACCATTGTGCCAAGATTGTGCTCTCACCAGCGTTTCACTGACGCCGGGCAGTGACATGTTACCACCAGGCGTCTGTGAAAACAAATGAAAATCTATTTGTAAGGCTACACAGTCGCATAAACTATGAATCCCAGGTTCACTCTGTTATTTGTAAGTGATTAGAATGATTTGTGTGTCCCGACATCACCAACATGTCAGTGTGGGTTGCTGTGCTATCAACGTACGGTGATGAGGTGGCTTTCCAACACGCACCCAACATAACATACAAATCCGCAGGTTTGAATGAAGATCAGTGAATCCAGTTTTAGTCCTGTGTAGTACGACTACATGGCTCCTTACTGTTGGCACCAGGGTCCACTGGGAATGATTGAGCACCATAAGACGCAGATTAATGAAGTAGAGCAACAGCAGAAACACCTTAACACCAACAAAGCGTCACCGATGGCCAAACAGGTTTTTTGGATTCCTCATCATCTAAACGTGATGGTTCCATCTCACGTGTGACGGGATGTCGTAGGATTGTGACCTCATTTTTGGGCCTACATGGAACCATCCGTGTAGGCTTTGGTCGCAGCTGCACAGTCCGAGCAGATTCTGGTGCTCTTCCATCAGTCTGGAATCTGACGTGGTCATCACGTGACGCAAAAGACACTTTGAAATCAGTGTCTGGACTGAGAAACCCGACAGGAATCTCATTTCTAGCATCCAAAATGTGGATCGGATCTGACTTGCAAAAATCTATCTAGATATGCTAAAACATTTTTGGGCTGGCAGTCTGAACACAGACTCAGTAAGGCCCTTTCAGACACAACCCCATTTGAGTTCAAACAATGTTGGTTTCAGTGTGAATGTGAGGAAGCTCCACACAGCTGATGCTTCACCGCTTCCTGTACGGCAGCGTTTATTCATCACCGCTGTTTCTGTTTCTCCCCAAACTACTTTTTCTATTTAGAGGAAGTTAATAGTGAGGACAGGAAATCCTCACTACATTTTGCACCACCTCCCAATCAATCAATCATCCATCCGTCTTAACATCAGCAGGGACCTCACCAACTGTCCATCTCCACCTGGTTCAACATGTGGTCACCCGGATAATGACACCTGCCATCAACAGGTGTTCTCGTTACCTGCAGTGTGACTGTATTATGCAGATGAGGTGGGTGGAGCCAGAGCAGCCTTGCTAGCTGCTGCTACTTGTCGCTTGTAACCGGACAGCTAACAGGAAGAGGTGGACTCAGGTCACATTTAAGCATGCTGGGTAAGTTCGTTTTCTTATTGTGTCCATAGTTCACAGATGTCACCTACTTGACTGAGATCAGATCCCAATGTGTTCTGCTGCATGTGCACCTGATCCAGGTCCACGTTAATACCAGGTGGAAACTGGCAGTGTGTGATCGTGATGTACGAGTGTCCTCCAAACCCCACACGTCTCAGAGCCTTTGGACTCAGACAGCCTTGCCACAGTGCAGGACAAAAGTGTCGAGTGTGTCTTACCTTTTGGAGAGGGGCACCTCGGAGGACACTGTAATCTTGCTCTTGCTCCTCTCGATAGAGACCACGCCGCCACCCAGGGTGCCGGCTTTCCCGTTCACCTTGATGCGCTCCTGAAGGAACTGCTCCTGGAAACATCACACACACACAAGCTCAGAACCAATATCTGTCTGCTTGCTGGCTGTGTTAACTTGTGGAAAATTGACTAAAACAGGTGAGGACAGTGGACTCTGAGGTGGACTTACAAAGTTGGCTGCGTCCATGATGCCATCTTCAACAGGGTGTGTGCAGTCCAGGGTGAACTTCAGGATCTGCTTCTTCTTCTTACCACCTTTGCCGGTGCTCTGCTTCTTCTGCTAACAGAAACACAGGTTATTTACCTGTCTGCACAGGTGGGTCCACTGACCCAGCAGGACTCTGGTGCTCAATAAGCGCACGCATTCAGGGTGCACAGCTAGCATAGACATTTCTTCTACAGCAGCTTGTTCAGACTGCAGAGACCGGACAGGCTTGGACAGGACGTAACAGACCTGCTGTCCTGCAGAGACCCAGACCAGCAGAGACCGGACAGGCTCAAACAGATCTGCAGAGACCCGGACAGGATCTAACAGACCTGCTGTCCTGCAGAGACCGGACAGGATCACAACGTGGTGATGCTACCGACGCTGCTAGCTAGCGTTAGCTCAACAGGCCACAGAACAGCTCAGCTGCATCTGTGCTTATAAAAACACTTTAAACCAGAATCCGACCTCTACATTCTGCCCCTGACTGTTAGAACAACACCGCCCTGTCATCCCGCTGGTTTTCTCCGGCTTTCACTCAACAATATCTGCATTTTCTGTGGTTTTATGAACACGAGATTTTACTCACAATAGGCGCCATGGCGGAGAAGCTAGCAGAAAGGAAGAGCAGGCCGTGCGCATGCGTGCACATGCACTAATCGAACGCCGAATTATAGATGAAATCTGAGATTGATTAACAAAACGGGATTCTATTTTTAAAAAGAGCTTTGAATATGTAAAGAAAGACACTGAAACTAAATCTAACAGTTCACAGAAGGAAAGAATCTGGGACAGAAAGGAGGCTGGTTGTTGTTCACAACAACAAACTAGTGGTCGACTGATATGGGTTTTTAAAAGTCGATGCTGATTTTTAGAGAAATAAAAAAAATATAGCTAAAGCAGATATCACAAAAAAGTCCTGTATAATCCATTATTCCTGCAGAGTGCAATCTAATCTCCATGTTCTCTCAGCAGAAACATGTTTCAGATGTTTTATTAATTAATGAAACAGAAACTTTGGGTTCTGCTGTAGATTTCAGAGAGTGGCTGGGATTTAAAGGAGAGCGAGGTTCAGTTTGTCAGAAGTAATTATTCTCTACAGTATAACTATAGGCTATATATTTAACCCTAGCCAGTAATGCTGTGCGATTAGAGCTGCTGTCATTTATAATATCGGCCTCGTGAGTGCAGGTATCAATTACCCTAAAATGCCAGATATCGGTCTACCACTACTTTGTTTACTGATATCTCCCAATTCTGCAGTATACACGTAACTATGACATACTACACCAGTACAGTACAGGTAGAGGTGAATTGTTTTTATGGGCTGACAGGGTTGACATGGGCGGCCTGTTGCTCAGAGTGGTCAAAGTCTATTCAGGTGTCAGAGTCTCAGATGGATGTGGACTCAGAGACTTCAGCCTCCTCCAGAGGGTCAAGTGGGCCTGTAAAGCAGCAAAGGACCATGTTCTTCTGGTCCTGGTCCGGGTGGATCCTCACAGTTGACTCTCCGTGTCGGCTTTGTGGAGCTTCTTACCTGGTCCCGCAGAGACTTCACTGGTCTCTGACTGCAGGTTGGTGGAGGATCACATACAGTGGAACAAAGGACCAACACCACACTGTGAAAATACTCCACTACAATCTAAGTAAAACTTAGATAGTTAATTAAATCAAAGTAAAAGTACTCATGTGTCAGTGCTTTACTAGTATATATCATGTTGTGGAAGAACATTACTACAGTATTATTACAGTTCTTTATGGGGCTGTTGTCTGATTAATACTTGCTGTTTCTGTGGTCATGTGTATGGATAATGGGAAATATTACAGTGTGAACATAAGAAGTTCTAACTTCAGCTAACCTACTCAGAAATAAGCACAACATAGCCATCTAAAGCTAACAGTAGCTAGCTAATATTAGCCACCATGAGCTTGGTTAGGCCACGGCAGTGCAGTTAAACCTTTCATTTGGAAGAAAATAGTTGTGTGATTTGAAATGTAGTCCTGATTTAAGGTTTAAGTCGGGGATTTCACTGAATTCCCTGTAGGGGAGCGCAGGGGCGAAAGTACCATTTTTCAGAAAAACCTGATTTTAAAAGATAATGTTTCAGACAGTGATATATTTTTGCTGTGGCCACTAACTCACAGGTGTGGTCTATCAATATGAGATGGTATTGTGTACAAATGTAGAACGACTTCCGTATAATTTCACTTTAAGCATGTGGCATTGTTACTTTCGACCCCGTCAGCTAAGTACAACAATAACAATACAAGCTAGATGTTTTGAGTTACCACCCTTGTATTTAATAAATAAACATGACTGTGACCTTGTTAATGTGTAACTGCAATCTTCTTTTGTCCTTTATCTTTAAAAAAAAAAATTTAATTACATTTTTATTTTAAATATTCAGTTTCAAAAGTAACCTGACAGCCTAAACTTGAATTGTTTAGAATATTTCAGATTATATTAAGGATATATTATAAATATATAATATAAATATGCAAATGTGTGCACCTAAAACAAGGGGGACATGTTTAGATGGACATGACATGTTTATGAACCTGACATGATTAAAATAAAATAAGACTTTATTGATCCTGCCATGGGAATATTTGCATGTTGTAGCAGTTTCAGAAACATAATTTAGAAAGATAAGACAAAAATGAAAATAAACTATAAAATTAAGATAAAAATTAAAAAGATATTTACAGAATAGGCCTATACAAATTTCACATTTTGAAATTAATTTAAAATTGTTTTAGTAAGAACAGTATGAGTGATCTGCATTTTGAGTGCTTTTTACTAACACCTACTAAACTGACCTCCTTAGGAGACAGGCTAAAATATAAATATCAGCCGCTCTCTTAATATAAGCATGCAGCTTCCTTTCCTAGTCCAAGGAGAAGACTTAATAATGTTATCTGTACCTGTGGTCTAGTCTTCTCCCCAATTATCTCTGCCCTCCTCCTGCATTATCTGAACAAAGCGCATGGCATATCGCATGAGACTTTATCAGCTGACCTGAGACTAATGTTTCTAACAGAGATGTCCAGAAACGCCTTCTCATAAACATCTGGCTGAATCAGACCTCTGTCTTTCTGACCCACGCTATTGGCATATTCTGTTAGTATTTTTGACATAAACATGTTTTAATAAATGCTGCAATGCAGAGAAAGTCACCACATTAGCAGCGGGACAAAAGAAACACTTGTGGTCACTGTAGCGGGACAAAAATAACGTCTCGGGTTACGTATGTAACCCATGTTCCCCGAGAAGGGGAACGAGACACTGCGTCGGTGACGACACTATGGGAACGCCTCTAGGCGTGGCAGGGCTGAATTATTAATGAAACTACTCCAATCCTTTTGCCGTTGCTCGAACGATAGCGTGGGACGGCGTAACTGGCGGCGTATAAAGCACGCCGGCACACAGGACAAACCAGCTCTTTGCTATGAAGCAAGGAGCTCCAGGCGGGGCAAGGCGTGGCGGACCGACGCAGTCCGGCACCTTAGGGATGTAGCCCGGACAGGGGTGCAGAACAGCCTTGACCTTCCCCGGGGCAAACTCCAGGCATTGAGGAGACACCAAGAGTGCCTGGAGATCCCCCACCCTCCTCAGAGAGGTGATAGCTAGGAGAAAGGCCATCTTAAGGGTCAGGTGCTTGGCCTCAGCCGACTCCAGGGGTTCGAAGGGGGGCTCCGCCAACGCTTTGAGAACCACTGCCAGTTCCCAGGTGTGAATCCTGGAGCGAGTCACGGGTCTCATCCTCCAGGCTCCACGGAGGAAGCGCACGACCAGCGGGAGCCTCCCCAAAGGCCCCTCCCTCAGAGGAGCGTGGAACGCCATAATGGCAGCCACGTACACCTTGAGCGTGGATGGGGAAAGGCCAGCAGAGAAACAGTGCTGGAGGAACTCCAGTACTGCAATTACCGGGCAGGTAACTGGGTCCACCGCCTGTTCTCCACACCAGGTGGAAAGCACGTTCCACTTCAGGCCGTATGTCCTCCTCGTGGATGGAGCTCTGGAGCTGAGCAGAGTCTCGACCGCTCCCGCCGTCAGGCCCGCCTCAAGGAACTGCACCCCCTCAGGGGCCAGATCCACAGCCTCCACAGGGCGGGGCAAGGGTGAAAGACCCGGCCCTCCGCCTGAGACAACAGGTCCCTCCCTCAGAGAGATGTCCGAGAACCACACTTGGGCCGGCCAAAACGGGGCTACTAACAGTAGGCTGACACCATCCTGACAGACCCGCTCCAGAACCCCCGGGAGCAGAGCGCCTGGGGGAAACGCATACAGACGCGGCCTCGGCCACGTCTGCACCACAGGCGTCTGTCGAAATAATTGTCTGCCGACATGGCGCCCCCAACATGGGACCCTTTGACAAGAACCAAGGTTTCTTCCATACAGACAGGGAACGAAGGCACCTGCTCATAACCCGTATCAGATGGAACGGGTTCCCCCTCGGGGAGAACATCTTGGTCTTCAACCACCACTGCAGGGCTCTCATATGTAGCAGGCCTGAAGCTATTACGCTGGATGCAGCTGCCATGAGACCCAACACCCTCTGAAAGTGTTTCACTGTGATGGTGCAGCCTAGCTTCACCGCGGTTACCGTGGACAAAATGGACTTGACGCGTGCAGGAGATAGTTGGGCCCGCATTGACGTTGAGTCCCATACCACCCCTAGGAACGTAGTCCGTTGGGCGGGTGTCGGCACGCTCTTCTTCGCATTGAGCCGCAGCCCCAAACGCTGAAGGACGACATCTCGATACTGAACAGCCAACTCCCGAGACCGGGCCAGAATGAGACAGTTGTCGATGTAGTTCAGCACGCGGATGTCCTGGAGCTTCAGCGGGGCCAGAGCTGCATCCATACACTTGGTGAACGTGCGAGGGGAGAGTGCTAGGCGGAACGGAAGAACCCGATACTGGTACGCCGCGCCCCCAAAGGCGAACCTCAGGAACTTCCTGTGAGAGGGACAGATGGAGATATGGAAATATGCGTCTCGTAGATCTATCGTGACAAACCAATCCTCTAATTGGATGTGACAGATGATGGCGTGGATGGTGAGCATCTTGAACCCGAATCTCCTCAGAGACCAGTTCAGGCACCACAGATCCAAAATCGGACGCAACCCTCCGTCCTTCTTGGGAACTACGAAGTACCCGGCTGTAAAACCCGGACTCCCTGGCTGGCGGGTGAACAAGCTCCACGGCCCCCTTCTCCAGCAGCGAGCGAACTTCTTGTCCCAACACAGGGCCCTGCTCTGGGTGCACCGCAGTCCAGTTCACTCTGTTGAACCTGGGTGGGCCTGAGGTTCGCCTTTGGGGGCGTGGCGTACCAGTATCGGGTTCTTCCGTTCCGCCTTCCAACTGCGGCCCCTCGGGGCAGGCAGAACGGCGTGTGCTCGCTGGTGGCTAGCGCGTCCTAAGCGTTGAAACGGCGGGATAGCTCCTTGGTGACCCGGAGCGCAGATCAGTAGCTCTGCGGAGCTCGGCGACATCCTCCTCAGAGAGGCCCCCTCCTTGGTCCATGTCCCTCAACAGGTCGGCCTGGTACGCCTGCAGTACCGCCATCGTGTGCAGGCTCGCACCAGCCCGGCCCGCCGCCATGTAAGCCTTGCCCACCAGCACAGATGTAATGCGACATGGCTTGGTGGGCAGCGCCGGCTCTTTAAGGAAGGACGCAAGGCCGGGTGAGAGATAGCTGGCCAAA